CTTGCTTGGTAAATTTGTTGGAACGGCCCGTCGCATCGCAAAAATTATTCGCCATGTATCAAAAAAAAAAAAAAACTGAATTTCCAGGCTCCCCTTTTGGTAAATCGCATCGTCAAGATTTTTTACTGATCTGACTATTATTTATTTTGTGAGTACTACTATCTACAGGTAGTTTAGTTCAAATGTATCCTTTGACCAGTGTAATAAATCTACTCTTCAGTCAAAGTACTTTATATTAATACTTAGGTATAACTTCGTGGGTATACTGGTGCCATTCAAAGCGAAGTTCAAATCATGATCAAAATTTACTAGTATTTGCATATAATACAATACAAAATACAATAGAACTTTAAAAATGTTAGTAAATGTAAGAAAGTGACTAACTGATACGAATTAAGGAAAGACCCGGGCAACCTCTAAGAATGAAATATGGCCGAACAGGTCAGTACTTTGCTAAGAATTTAATTATTTGGGGTTTTGTTATTAGTTTGAGGACATTGGCGTTAACACGGGGAAAACATCGTTACGACGAATGGCAGATTTCAGTTGGTGCCAAACATGTTCAATGGGATTAAATATACAGTGGTAAGGTGGCCTTAAAACTGTATGCCCTATATTTTTTGCATAATTATCAAAGTACTCAGCTTTGTATTTTAAAGGCTTTTTGTCTTAGAGGCACGCACTGTTTTTCTATCGTGCTCCTGCGGACCGCTATGGAACTTTCGCACAATCGATGGAATTTTATTGTGCATCCACCCTATATAAAACGTTTTTCGCTTCTCGCCGAACTTTGGTTAATATAAAAATTTGTACTGGCACACACACAAATTTTTGCCTACCCTGTGACACAACCTGTACATAATTCAAAAATTTTCCGAAATAGGGGTTATAATCCTAGACCTCCCACGTTTCCTGGTCCAAGAATTTTTCCAATAGAGTTAATGGTTTTCGAGAAAATATTTTTTTTTGAAACTGTGCAGTACGCCGTAATAGTCAATGGCGTCATCGCGTCTAGACTGAGCCCGAGGCATAGTGATTTTCATATGGATTTTTTCAAATATCTCGTGAGGCCTATAACAGTGTTTGAACCGATTAACCATATTATTTACGAGTTTTTAATTTACGGTAAATAATTTATTTCCAAGAAGTACAATTTTCACGGTCATTTAGATTTTTGTCTATAATTGAAAAACCCTGTATATAATCGAAAGAATGCCTGAAATAAAAGTTATAGCCCTGGATCTCCCGCGTTTCCTGGTTCTAAAATTTATCCGATCAGTTGAATAGTGTTTGAGAAAATCAGGTTTTTCTGGAAGCCAAAATAATGAAAGAATCAAATGATATTTGATTGCGCTCAATTTCTACAGTGGCCAGCGACTTTTACTTCCTTGCCAAATTTAAAGTCAATAGCTACATATTTCAGTCACCTATGACGTTTTTGAATATAGCACAGAATATCCCGAACACCCTGTACAATATATGAAAATCTTAAATACCTGGCAACACAATCACAGGCTTCTAGTTATGGTTAATTATCATTTTAAAGTGAGCCCAGTTTTCAGTTAATTGCAAATTACCGACGCACCCTGTACATTTTCGAAAAATCATAAAGAATAAAGGAGTTTGGTCCGGATCTTGCACGTCGTTTCGATAAAGAATTTTTTCGGTTGTATTTACCGTTTTGGAGAAATGATTTATTTTGTCGACACCTTGCAAATAGGATTTTCAAATTTTTAAAAATACATCCCGACCCCCCAGTCCCCCAATTCCAATAGGTTCCGTTACGGAACTAAACTCAATATTTGAGCAAACTTTCATCTCGGTTGCTGAGAATTTCGGACACTTATCGTGTTTCATAGCGGTGTACGAAAAACAGACGAAAATCGCAAAAAAATACAGATGCCAATTTCCAATCGCGGCCATTTCCTATGGGCTTATGTGTCTCGCGGCAAGTTTAAAAGCAGCAAAACTTCACCTTCCTCACTCAAACCATTCGGAAGTTATTCGCGTTTTTATGGAGTGTCTACAAAGAACAGAGAATGGAGAAAAAACAAAAAATGAAAACGTTTTTTTTCGACGCTTCGATTCGATTTCATAGATTTTTCGTAACAAGTAACAAGAGGCTTTAAAAGAAACCTGTCTACTTACGAAAACGTCAATATTGAAGATAAGGGATATGACTAATAGTAGAGAATTAAAAAAAATGGAATATGTGCTTAAATGTTCAAAATTCGGGAGAGCGTTTTTAAAAACATTTATTACACGGAAAGCGAAATAAAGTTTTATTCGAACTGGCCGTTACAAAGGTTGGAGTAATTAAGAGCGTATTTTACAATATTACAATCGAATAAATAGGGCTTTTGATGCGGTGTCAGCGATGCGTTATCTTCGCTTAGCTTTGGGCTTCGTCTGCGGTTTGGGACATATAACTCCTCCCTCCTTAACTTTCGAAAATAACGGAGTGTTTTTTCGAAAAAACTTCAAGATTTTCTCCCTGGCAGGTTTCCTCTTTAGATGCGATTTTCTTCAATTCTCGTGCCTTTCCGAACAGGAGCTTCTTAATGATGAAAGCTAAAATTAGAACCATGATTATTCCAAAAACAATAACAATTATTTGGAACGTATTCGTTTCTTCTTCCACTGGTTCCGTGGGAGTTATTTTTTCTGCTAAGTCTCTCAGCGGGTATATCTCGTCGATATTTATTTTTGAAAGACTGGGGGTATCCAGGATTTTCATTACTTTCATTTCTGTCAATTGGATTCTTGGTAAAAATATCGGTTTCCCGAACTGGATTTTCACGTCGTTGAAGAATTTTTCTTCATTAATTTCTATTTGACAGTTTACTGGTATCTTAATCGGTACTGGTACTTCGATTTGCATATATCGATCCGTGTTACACTTAGTTAGTAATTTTTCAGGCTTCTGTGGCAAAACAAGAACTAAATTTTGAGTGATTTGTTCTATAATTGCCTCTGACAGGTTCATTTTCGTAATTAGGCAGTTTTCCATTCCGATGTCGTCAAATAAATTCTCCACGCATACATCTCGGGGATGAGTTTCTTCTTTACAAAAGTAGATTTCTTCGATGACGGGACATGTTTCTACGGTGAATTGTTTCTTCTTTTCCGCTCGTGCTATATAAAGGTATTGGGATATAAAAATTAATTGATTTTGGATTATTATATGTTTCGGATCTTAAAATTGGTACATGGACTGCAAAGATCACTTTCGAGTCAACAAAATTTACCTGAGTTCCCAAAATTTGATAAGAAGATAAAATGTTTTTAAGTTGGGGAATTTGATTTTGTTTATAAATTGATGCTAAATATTTAAGCATTTTATTCAAATCAGAAATCGGTAAAATACTATTATGAAGCGCATTAACTTTTGCAAACATAATAGCGTCTTCTAGATTATCTAGAAACATTATAATATTTTGGCAATCTAAGTTTAATTGCGTAATGATCCCGTGAAAACTAAGATAGTCTTGTAAAGAGTTAATTGTCATTAATACTACATTTTGGAATGTTTTTAAACCAGTTTGTAGTTTTCGTTGATTTTCATTTAATTTCACAATAGTTTTATTATAATTATTAATTATGCCCTTTGTAGTTCTAGTTCTTTTGCTAAATTATTTCGATTTTTCTCGAGTGTATTTATTGCTGCTTTATAATAATTTCCGTCGTCAGCGTCGAGAGTTCCAAATAGCTATTTATTTATTTTACCAACCGCGTTAATTAAGCCTCGTTCCTTACGAACATGTGGATGTAAATTTTCAAGTTTTTCTACCGTAATTTGTATTAAATATTCAGTTCTTAGAAGTAAATTTTCGGCTAGTCCATAATAAGAAGTATTATTAGTTATATTTTCAACATTAAACTTATCTTTAATTATTTTAAATGCGTCCTCTATGCTTTCTACGTGATTAATTATTTGGCTTAAATTTACATAATGGATAAATGTATGTTTGTTATAGATTAACTTCGCGTTACCTATCTGGATTGGAAGTATAGGATTTACGAGTTTGGTAACTTGTACGTCTGTCGTTATTATTCGTTCGGTTAGAACTGCTACGAGTAGAAGAGTCAACATTTTGATCTTCATTGGTTTCAGTTTCGTATTTCTCCGTCTCCTTTCCGGCTCAATTTTCCAACTCGTCTCATGCGGGTTGTACCTTCGTAGACCGTCGTTCTGCTTCCCTTGCTGCTGGTTCTGCGTGCTGAAGGATTTGAAAATGCACGTAGCGGATGTCCAAGTTTCGAACTTTCCTCGATTGGCGATTTCAAAAAACTCCCAGAAGATTTCTGGTTAATTGTCCACCACTACTGCACTTAGAAAATCCTACCGACTGCGCCACTTAAATGTTCAAAATTCGGGAGAGCGATTTTAAAAACATTTATTACACGGTAAGCGAAATAAAGTTTTATTCGAACTGGCCGTTACAAAGGTTGGAATAATTAAGAGCGTATTTTACAATATTACAATCGAATAAATAGCTTTGGGCTTCGTCTGCGGTTTGGGACATATAACTAAGTGTAGTGTTTTTCAAACTTCAAAAGAAGGAAAATATATTGTCTTTAAGTACCGCAAACTAGACAAAAGACAAGTAGTAATGGGATCACACAGGTTACGCACTTGGGGATTTAATTACCTCCAAGAAATTAAAAGATATAGATTAGACAATAGATTCATAACCTATCTTGATGAAACATGGTTCGATACACACGACGCTGTATAAAGATTAGAGAAAATTACCATTTTTTTTCTGATATTTCGACGCTCCGCATAATGCTATGGTCTGTTCATCGAAAATTCCAACATCACCTGTATGGAAAATTGTGAATAATCCCATTTCACCGAGGGAAAAAAAGAAGCGATGCTGACTTTTTCTCGGGTGTAGATGAAAGTGATCAAGATATAATACGGCTTAAAATTTACCTGTTATACGAGGAACAAAGCGTGTCTATATTAGATATCTTAATTAGGAGGCTTGAAAAAGATGAAACCGGTGTTAAATGTGGCGGAACCTCCTTATTTAAGTGTACTCAGCACATGGGTTTTAGATTTTAAAAAATTGCCAAGAGGCAAGTTTTACTGGAAATGGCAACTGGAATTATCTAGAAAAAATTAGGATTTACAGAGAACAACAAATGCCAATTATTTACTTGGATGAAACCTGGTTCGACACGCACCATCAAAAAGAGGTATAAGAATAACTATTTTGCATGCTCCGTCTGAAGATGGTTGAATTCCAAATGGACTTTCTCTGTTTGCGAAAAATATTAAAGATTCTTCTCTGGATTACCTTGAAGACATCACCGCTGATTTATTTGAAACTTGGTTTAAAAACAAACTAGTTCCAAACATTCCTCCTAATAGCGTAATTGTAATGGACAAAGTTATCCCTTCCTCATGCGACACAAAAGCAACAATCCAAAACTACATATACAATAACGACATTTATCTTCACGAAGATTATACCAAGAAGCAATTAATTGAGCTTCGACAAAGCTTGAACCTACAAAAGGAGTACGTCTGTGATAATTATGCAAAAAATTTACCACTGTATATTTAATCCCATTGAACATGTTTTTCACCAACTGAAATCTGCCATTCGTCGTAACAATGTTCTTCTCCGTGTTAACTCCAATGTCCTCAAACTTATAGAAACCGAAGTTTTTAACATCCCTCCACAAAGTTGGGCAAATTCTGTTAAACATATAAAAAAAGCAGAACAATCGTATATCCGTATTGCAAATAATATAGAACAAATAATAATTAGAACAGGCGATGATAGCGATAGTGATACTGATATATTATGTGAATAATTTTAAGTAATTTAAGTAGGTAATAAAAATAATAACAAAACCCCAAAGAATTAAATTCTAAGCAAACTACGGACCCGTTCAGCCATATTTCATTCTTACAGCTTTCCCGGGTCTTTCCTTAATTCGTATCAGTTAGTCACTTTGTTATATCTATGAACAGACTTTACAGCAATTTTTAACTAATTAATTAACGATATTTATTTGGTATTGAAAAACGTTATTTTCAACTTTTATACTGTGTATGTATTTTCTTTCATTTTAGTTTTAAATCATATAAAAACCGTGAGGCAGCGGTTCGGTTGATTTTTAGTTTAGTTTTAGTTATCTGAAAGTGAAACTAGTGCTTGTAAGTTAGGTTTAAATTTCAGCTATTATAATTAATTTTTAAAAATGTTGCTATATTACAAATGTCATGGTCCTTGTATTAATCAAGGATTAAACTACCAGCCTCACTGTAAAACACAAAAAAGCGGTTGTTATATTAAATAAAATTAAATTAAATAAAAAAAAAATAAAGTAATTAAAATAAATGTACTAATCGAACAACGATAAGTAAGGATTCAAAAACACAAAAAACTTTCTTTTTGTACGTCTATCTCACATTTCTGATTGCCAATTTCTTTTTATTTAATCACTTTTGTAGAGGCAGAGTATTGAGGCGAATAGCTCAGCAAATTATTGTGCACGAAGTATAAAATCTAAGTAGATAGTACTACAGTTTTGGCCTGATCACGAACAGGTTTTATTTAATTCGTAGTTTATTTTAATTGTTATTATTAATTTATTTAATCACTTCCACGAACAATTTGAGTTGATTAGTACAACGTTTAAACGAAGAATAGCGGCATAAAGCTGTGTTTAAATTCGATATTGAGGATTGTATGAATATGATGGATGAAAAATATATTTATTATTGTTTCAAAACCATATTTTATTATTTGTACATAGTATGGGAGCTTTATTCGTTAATTAATAACATTGTTATACAGTGGTTTTGTTGCTCTGGATGTGAGACTAATTTTCAATTTTGTTAAAATCTTTATTTTCATTTTAATTTAAAAAAATGTTGAAAATGTTAGTTTTATTTTAAAAGTTTAACAAACATTGGAGTAAATAGAGAAAAAAATGTTAAAAACTTATACTATATTTCCATAAAACGCCTTTTATTAGTTTTTCTTCTATAACTCTTCTTTGGACAATCACTTTTTAAAGACCAGCAGTAATCTGCCATCATGTGACAATCCCAGCAACCCTGATACCGTTCTTCGATCAATTTTACATTCTTTTGGAACCGCTCTACCTGTTCTTCACTATAATTCCCTAAATTATCTGGGAATTTACCTAGATGATTGCGAAGATAGTGTAACCTGATACTCATATTTGCTCCTATAATCTGAAAATTTGTCAGCATATTTTGCACAATTTCTTCATAATTGGGTGCTTTATCTTTACCTAGGAAATTTTCGACTACCAATACAAAACTTTCCCAAGCTTGACTTTCCGGAACAGTCATAACCCTGCATTCAAAATTTTGCTGATGTTGTTGTCGAGGTCTCTGCAAAGTTTTTCTCTTTTTTTCAGGTGGCAACTACGGGGAAAGTCCCGTGGTATCGGTGGACCGGGGCGCCGAGCTTCATGGGCTCCTGCCCGAGCTCAATGGCGTCGAACTGGCAATGAGCCTGAGCCCCAAACAGCACCTACACCAGAACAGTCAAGCCCAACAGGCTCTTAGTCACCTGCAACAACTCCACCACTCCACTCCTTTCAGCGTCACCGACATACTCAGTCCTATTGAGGAATCCTACAGGAAGTTGGAGTTAGCTGCCAACCCTCCATCGCCATATAGGCAAGTACCTAATTGCTTTGCTAGTTAACTTACTTTTCTGGTAACTGCTAGTAGGTATAGGTCTTAGACCTGAAAGCGAAGCAAATTTTTCAGAGAAACTTCCACACGCCGACGTTTCGCCCATCATGATGTTGGCTTCTTCAGAGCTTAACTGAAACATTCTACTCTGCACCTGCTTATATTTTGTTAAAGGGGGGCGGAGGATGAACATTGTCTCGAGTGGCTGATGAGTCGCGGTTAAAATTGTTTGGTTGCCATGGTCCATGGACTCCCGCATTTTTCCGGGTTCGGTTTCATGATTGTGTTCGGCACCTGCTGCTGTCTTAAGGCTCTTTCGTATTTCAAAATAAATAACAACTAAATATTCAGATTTTCACGAAATTACATATTTTCACATGACAATTGTTACGACAACACCGTGTCTTTATCAAAAAGACATTAAAACCTTAATTAATGTTGTATCTACAGGTGTCTACAGGTTAAAATGCGGATCTTGTCCTAAAATTTATATTGGAAAAACAGGTAGATCCTTCAAGAAACGCGTTAACGAACATAAAAGAGCGTTTAAAAACAATAGTCACAGACAAAAACATTTTTGACGACAATTTTGATATTTTACATACAGCCACAAAAAGCAGAAAATTAAATTTATTGGAAGCCATGGAGATTAACAAAATGAGACATTCAAATGTATTGCTTAACGATCAATTAGATTTAAATATTTTTCCATTATTAAACTTAAATTCACACAACAACATTAATTAAGGTTTTATTGTCGTTTCTCGGTATATACAGGAGCAGGTAGTGTGTAAATATGACATTTGATAAAGACACGGTGTCATCGAAACAATTGTCATGTGAAAATATATAATTTCGTGAAAATCTGAACTTTTAGTTCTTATTTATTTTGTTAAATGGATTTTCATCTAGTAAAAGCCACCTCAGTTCAATTCTTTCATATTTTTTGAGATTAGAGGATGTTTTTCGTCCTGTCACTTCAATATGTTTTTCGCCGTATATGCGTGGAATTCTGCAAACTCCCGGCATCTCAAACGGAATTTTGTCTTTGACGAATAGAAGATGTTGAGAAGTCTTCGGACAAGTACTAAAGTTATAACGTTATATATTTCTTAAAAACTTTTCATATGTGGTCGATGATGTTTTGAATGTAAAGAAGTGCGTGGTTGCTTTCGGACTCATTGTCTTTGGGAGGTTATGGTGAAGTGTATTTTGTGATAGAACGCTTAATATCTCTCTCTGTGGAAATTATTAGCGAGAAGAGCAGATGTATGTATGTTTTACGGTTAAGTTAACAAGAGAGTTGATAACCGATGATTTTTAGACCGGATGGTGTAAACACAATGACCCAATGTTAGGTCTGATGTTCTATTGGTAAGAATATATAAGAAGAATGCAATGGGGAAACGCATGTTCGGGTTACGGCTAAGAAGGAAAAAGGGTTTCTTGACTATGAAGCTAAATAACAAAAGTATCATCAACGTAGCGGTTTCATAATTTTGGTTTTAGACCTTCCACCTTTCTTCTCAAAAACTTCCATAAACATATTCGCTTGACTGGTGACAATATAGAACCCATAGCTATCCCCTACGTTTGTTCATAAATTTGAAAATTGAAATTGAAACATTGAAAATTGAAATAAAAGGAATTAAGTACGAAACTATCGGTTTTCCCTGCAAAGGGATTTAATATGGAACCTAGATAGCAACCATACAATCTTAGGTGCGGCTAGAGTAGAATGCGAGTCAGCTTGAGCTAAGCTCTGAAGAAGTCAACAGGATGATTGGCGAAACGTCAGCAAGTTCGACTTAACCAAAAAGTCGGCGCAGGAGGAATCCAAAAGATTTGTAAATAGAAACGAAGATGTGTATAAATTTGATTAAAAAAATTATTTTGCATACACAAAATTAACAAAATTGAAATGTAGGTATAGATGACAGATGACTTTAAACGATCACCGACAAGTCCGAATCCCCAATTATTCGTAAATATTCCGAAATTTTTCATTAAAATGAATGATGCATTTTAACAAAATATCCGAAAGGGAAATAAAAATCAATGCTGGAGAGCGACTTTCATATAACTACCTTATCGCGGGACCTAAAAGTGAACATATTGCTTAAGGTGATTCTTTTCGCTATGGCCCCTATCAAATTTTTGATTTAAAATGGAACACCCTGTATATTAATAATAATTCAGATCGACCTCCGATACTCAGCTTTCAGAGTTCTTAATATTCATCTTCATTATTTGATATTTTCTGCTTTTTGTTTCAATTTTTCTTTGCGGATATGCGCATAAAAAAGATTTTTTTATTTATTTTGATTATTATTGTTATAAATTTTTTATTAGTTTGCAAAAATTGCACTTTTAAGTGAAAAAAAAAATCTACAGTATTACCATACTGAAAGGCGACTACAACGATATAATACGAGGGATACTATAAATCACCTTTTTGGATTATTGCTTATTATCTTCAACACGAGATGATAAGGACGATACGTTTAATTAAGGAGTTTGATGCTGTATACACGAAAATATAAGATTTCAGATTTCACAAAGATTTCACAGGTTTCTGAATGATTTTACTGAATTTACTCATAACATCACTAATACATTCACTGACATGACCGTCGGAATTGACAAACGTCAAAAAGCCTTGCGATAAAATCTCCGAAAACATCCGAAGTAGCTCAGCTCCACAGGACAAGAAACTCACGTGGGAAAGTGACGCCTTTCGCAAGCTACATCGGTGTATAATTAGATATTTTACATCAACGAGTAATATGCAGAGTTTACCAAACGCGTGGCATACTATATACTTTTTCTACGACCGTCACGACAAAATCACAATTTAACAAATTAGAAATAATAACAGATTATAGGATTACTAAATTACGTACCATTAAAGCAAAATATTTACTAGTTGTCATTAAACCTATTAGTTTATCGTTCTGAACGGTTCTGCTATTGTTGTGTCCTTTTAACTGTGTACGTTAGACTGAGAGAGATGTATTATTGGATATGTCATATAAACAATGCAATAATCACAACTTTAAAACGTTATGTTGTTTATTTAACTGTAATAGGAAGAAAAATCATACAAGAATAGAGCTTTTAAGAGCAAGAAAAAGCAGGTCCTAACCTTCAATTTTGTTTTGTTTGTACTGATACAGGGATGTTTGAAAATGGTACAATTGGTACTGTAAAAACCACTAAAGTTCATGCGAACGATATGTAAAATTTCTGTTGAAAACTGAAATTATAAATGTCACTTTACTTACCGACTAGCCCACTAGATTTTATTTGTAACTTATAGCACGTAGTATTTAAATTGTCTGATATATTGCGTAACATTTTTCTGTGTATTAGTTTTTGAGTACATTTTTGCAAAACAACACGAATACATGCGCTGACATAACCATCAGAATGGCAAACGTCAAAATTCAAACCGTGCGGTAAAATCACCGAAAACATCCGATTGCTCGCAAACTCGTGCGAAGTGGGAAACGAAACTAGATCGGTAATGTAATGTAATTAGGCATTTTATTGGCGGGAGTAGAAAAAGGCCGGCAAAGCGTTTCCGTGGAGAAAGAATTTTCCTCGACAGAGAATAATTACGATTTGTTTACATTAAAATGTTTTTAAAATACATCTGATAATATTTACAGTGACTCAACTTAAAAGATTCAGTTGCAATTTAATTAATCAAAGAGCAAAACCTATCATAAATGTGTTTGTTTAAAAGTTGTCAATTATTTTAAATAAATCATTGCGGTCATAGTAAAATTGTATTTAGGTACCTTTTACTCTGAAAATTGCATGCGGCGATTATCATAAATCATAAAGGTTAATAAAAACGTGTGCCCAATTGCTCTCACAGCTAAAATTATCGATGATTTGCAATGCAATACATTCGGTAAACTTTTTAATTCACTCGTTTATTAAACACTCGCTTAGCTCGTGTCAAATAAACTCGTGAGTCAAATGCCGTTTACAGCACTTGTATTTATTTGTTATTGTACTTGGTATTTATTTGTTATTATACGATGGAAAGTCATTCTTCATTAAAAGTTCAGCTTGTTGAGAAAACTAATTTACTACATAAATATTTCCAATCAGATGTGCAATCAAATAGAAAATACCTTAAGAGAGAACTGTTATACAGAACACATTTTCTCAACAAGCAGAGCTGTTATTAAAGACCGACATTTTGTCGTCTATTTAAAATGAAATAATTTTTTCCTGTTGCACCCTCGATTCGCGCACACACTGCATATACGAGGTTAGCGCCAAAATTTCCTGGCCCGACATAGATGCAGTTCCAGTATCACGATAAACATTTGTCTTCTTTTAAATATATATCTTAGTAGGCTGCGAAAAAAAAAATGAACTCTTGCGTCAAACAGTTTTTTATTGACAGCATTTTAAACAAGACGTGTCCGAAAAATGTCGCAAATAACGCAAACTGAGTATAGAGCAGTCATAAAGTTTTTGACAAAAGAAGAAAAGTACGGCCAAAGTACTCCTTCGAATTCTGTAGTGAAAGAATAGGCAAAACGTTTTCGAATGGGGCAAGAGTCCCTTGAAGATGATTCAAGAACTGGTCGACCAATGGAGGTCATAACGGAAGATATTGTTGCGATTGTGGAAGAGGTGGTATTGAGTGATCGACGCTTAAAGGTCAAGGAAATCTCAGAAATTACTCTAAGCTTTCTGATACAAGTGTTCGTCGAATCCTGCATGATCATTTAGGTTAGTGCAAGATGGGTTCCTAAAAACCTTTCGGCTATTCGAAAACAACGCCGTGTCGAGTGTGCGCGGTTGTTTTTTTTGTGGGTTGGAACCGAAGCCTGTGATAGAAACTATTATGACGAGAGACGAAACTATGGTTCTCTATTATGATCCTCTATCGAAAAAAGAATCAATGAAGTGGCGTCGTAAGGGTGAAGCACCTCCAAGAAAATTCAGAGTCTGCCAGTCAACAAAAAAGGTGATGGCCACGATCTTTTGGGATTGTGAAGGAATTTTTTTGATAGATTTTAAAGAAATTAATACCACTGTCAATGGTAAATATTACGCAACATTATTACATAAATTGCGAGACTGCATACGTGTAAAACGTCGAGGAAAACTGACCAGAGGCGTGCGTCTTTTGCACGATGACGCACCTGTCCATACTGCTGTTGTTGCACAAGCTGCTATTTTAGAGTATGGGTTCCAACGGATAGATCCTCCTCCCTATAGTCCAGATATTGCCCCCAGCGACTATTATTTGTTTGGATATTTGAAAAAGGACTTACGTGGACGACGGTTTAACGACGCAGTTGAGTTAAAATAGGCTGTTTTAGCTTATTTCGCAGACAAACCGAAAGAATATTTTTTAAAAGGATTGAGTTGTTAATAAAGAGATGTAATAAGTGTATTGAAGTTAAGGGGGATCATACTGAAAAATAATAAAAAATTGTTACTTTACTTTGTTTATTTCATATTCAGGCCGGGAAATTTTGGCGCTGCCCTCGTACGCATTAATTTCTCAATGCATTTTAAAAATTAAATAAATTACAATTTTTTGCAAATTTAACAAAATTTTATTTAATACTAACATGTGCATAATAAGTTATCTCGTATTACCGATATTATGTTTGTCGTTGCAGATCCACTTCGAGTGGCAGTAGTATTAATTCTCCGGGAGCTATCGGTCCAACCGGAAGCGGAAGCGGCTGCAGCATGAATGGAGGTTACCCCGTCATGGGACAGTTCGGCGGTGGCCAGTACTGTCCGGTGTCGGAGAACATCGGACTCGCCCCCCATTACTCGTCCGGATGGTACCAGAGTTCAGCGGCGGATCCTCGATTCGCAAGTAAGTTTCTCTCGTGTAGTGGACTCAATTTTAAGATTTTCAGTAACTTAAACCGAATACTGTATTGCGGTAACGACATATCGGGCATAACGAACAAAATGATAATAATGTGATAATAGTATATTGTGGAACAAGTGCGGTAAATGGCATTTGACTCACGAGCTTATTTGACACGAGCGGAGCGCAGCGGAGCGAGTGTTTAATAAACAAGTGACGTAAAAAGTTTACCGAACGGGTTGCATACTATACTTTTTCTACGACCGTTAGTTTTTTTGGTACATTTTCGCAAAACAACACGAACACATTCACTGACATGACCGCCAGAATTGACAAACGTCAAAATTCAAAGCGTGGGGAGTATCTCCGAAAACATCCGATTGCTCCCAAATGCGTGCGGTAAAATCCCGGAAATGTCCGAAGTGGCTCGGATTCGTGGGAAAGGAAACTGACGCTTTCCGCACGCTCGATCGGTGTGTAATTAGGTATTTTACAGACGGGAGTAGAAAATCAGTTGTTGGGAACAGCAGTATACCGTTTCCAGACACAGTAGGAAACCGATCTTTCAAACAATGCTCTGTGATGCGGGAAATAAGTCCCCTATATCGATGATTCAAAGTGTGGACATCAGTTCGGTATTTTGTTTTTCCCAAAAGATATGAATGGCAGGCATTTAAAATTATATTTTGTCTATACTGTCTACGTTTCTCCATATATCGAAAATTTGCTTAATGGAGTTTATACGATATGCGATAACATCGCTTGACACTGTACTCTCTGTTTATGGTTATATTTTCTTGATCCCAACAAGGACCATAATGCGAATCTTCTTCGTCTTCTTCATGTGCCGTGTCCGTCATCGAACATTGGCTATCATATTGGCTATAAAAACTTTATTCCCGGCAGCTCTAAATAAGGCTGTACTTGACATATGTAACCATTCCCGTCAACTTTGAAGCCATGACATTGTCTGCGACCTCGCCTTATTCTTCCTTCTATCTTGCCCTGCATAATTAAGTGGAGAGCATTATAGGGCTCAGGATGTCGCACTCCATGAGAAAAATATTCTAGTTTTTTGGTCTTAATCAATTTAGTAGTAGTAGTCTGTTGTAGTCTTTTCCGCAGTATTTTCATCAGCGTCCAGTTTTCCATCCCATAGAGCACAGTCGAGAATATGTAACAACTTGTAAGCCTCAACCTAAGTTCGATGTTCAGGTTTCTGCACTTTCTAGCACTTTCTTCATTCGGAAAAAAGCAGCTCTAGCTTTTCTATACGAATTTTGATTTCTTGGCTCATACCTCAGTTGTTTATTTTAGAGCCCAGGTACGTAATATTGTCTACCTGCTCAAGCAGGACTCCATCTGCATAATTAAAATGAGAAAGTACCAGCGGTTAGTTATTAAAAGGTGACGACTGGGATAAACACTATCAAGGTTTAGTCCCAAATTGTGTGGTAATTCGAAAGTGAGGTCTAGTTACCTCCTTATATTGAACAAATAATATAAAGTAAGATTTGATAGCATTTATTTCGAGTTGATGCGAGTCTAAAAACTCTTCAACGCGCTTGAATATCCTTGTCTATAATTTCCATAGGTTGCTGGAAAATTTATATTTGGGTATCATAAGCGTAGGAATAAATCTTGAAGCCCTGGAAATTACTATTCCAACTGCATGTATAGATATTAAAAAGGAGATGCTCTAATATTGAGCCTTGGGGTACCCTACACGGAATAGTAACATTCCTTGACTCTCCTTTAGATGTTGCGACAAACTGAAAGTGGTGAACCACAGTAACTACGCATAAAAGAGATTGATTTGGTTGAAATCGGAAGTATCGTTTAATCTCCATATAAATTTAACAAGTATACGAGCTGTGTTCAAAAAGTAAGGATACTTTTAAGTTATATCAAAAAGTATTTATTTATTTATCAAAATTATGGTGTCCCCTTTAAAGTAATCGCGTCCAGATATAATACACTTGTGCCAACGGTTTTTCCGATTCTCGAAGAACTTCTGGTATAGCCTTGAGTTCTTACAGGGATTTCTTCTTTATCTCTTCAATCGTTCCAAACCTTCGTGCTTTCATGGATTTCTTGAGTTTTGGGAACAGAAAACAGTCGCAGGGGACCAAATCCGGTGAATATGATGGCTGAGGCCAAAAAGTTTGCCACAAGCAACATTGAGTGAGCAGGTGAATTATTGCGATGCAAAATCCATAAAATGTTTTCCCACAATTTCGAATATTTCTTTCGCATTGCTTCTCAAACGAAACATAACTCCAAGGTAACACTCTTTATTGACCGTACGACCTTGTGGCCCACGATTCGTCACCAGTTATGACTTTTTTGAGCGTATCAGGATCATCATTAACGTCATTTTGTTCAAAATTAAATGGTTGTGAAACAAATTTTGCTCCTACACGTTTCATGAACAAAACTTCGGAAAAAATTGCATGGTACGTGAATATAACGGTTTCATCAGTTATTGACGTACTGAGGCATCTTCTCGGCCATATTGGAGCAGCTTGTACCTCTCATAAAAATTTTTTTTGCTCAAAGTAGATTCTACATATATCAACATTTCAATTATTTTGCAGCACTGTATTTCATTTTTTACACAAAATTTTATGCAGCAGAAAATCGCCGAGAAAACAAAACACCCTTCTCTCTCACAAAAAGAGAGTAGATATGCAAAATGACTGAAACCGTGGACATACGTTAGGGACATGTGTACCAACATAACAAAAAAAATACCAACTATCGAATGATAGCCCGCCCAATTACAAAAAAATCACCTTACTTTTTGAACAAAGAACCGTAAAGTGTTCAGTGTAAAAGCGAAGAAGAAAATTGTAGATGGTTTGAACTGTGGAGCAAAAAATCTGCTATAGCAGCTGCTAGAGGAGCTTCTCTAGGCGTAAATTTGAACACTTAAGCTATAAATGTACATATCCGTTTCTGTTCTATTTCTATTTTCTTTTATTCGATTTGATTTGATGTAATATATTTAATTTAATTTAATCATTTTAATTAATATAACTAATTTAATTAATTTATTTAGTTTAAATAATTTAATTAATTTAATTTAACCAACGGAAACGGAACGGAAATAGCGACATATTGGATATAGTCCATAGCAGCTTTTTTATTTTTTTATCAAGTTTCTCATTGTGCTGTTGCAATAATTTGGGAAACTTGGGACAAAATCTAAAGTTATTCAAGCTCCAATATAACGACAAAGAAAATCAGAAAATCAAATTTTCAAAATATCGCTTTCCTTAAGCGGTTCAAAATTCAGAGAAATCGCAACATGTCTATTAATGGACCAGCGCTCCGGTTAAAAAAAAACAATTGTCTTCAAAAACGGGAGTACGAAAATTCAATAAAAAGTTTGTCGCTTACTGAAAATTTCAATACAAAAAAACGCAATTTTTTTATCTAAGGTCGAAAGAAAACATGGATAAAAAAATTGGAAATTATCATCAAGTAATTTTTTTGAATTTCCGCAGTTTTTTCGATATTACATAACTCGTAATTTCCCATTTCGCGGGTACAATAACCTCACTAATGATTTTTATTCCACTATATACTTTTTACAAACATTTCCGCAAACACCCTGTATCGCTGCCAGCATCACCGCTCTTTTTTTAAATCGGCTTTTCATTCGCGGTCGGTAAATAAATCGAAAAATCATAAAACGCGATTTATCATTTCGATTTTGTTTACATTCAGGGGTTTTACGGGCGGCGTTTAGAATACAATACAAGCCTGTCCTCCCTCACCCGGCGTTCTGCACGAATCGTCGATAAACACACCTGAATGGGGCCTTTGTTCCTCTCTTGTTTTGATACCGGTTCGACTTCCTGCGATGGGGGTACCAGATAAGTTTATACCGATCCGGTATTTGAAAATATAACGGCAAATGATTTAGTTGCGATTTTTTGATTTTTATGTTTCATTATAGACACAAAAAAGTCCTGGAAAAATAACCTTTAAAAGACGAAAGACAAGTCTGACATACGAACCATCATTTCTTATTCTTTGCGCACATGAAAGTGAACTTTGATGCAAATATAACGGCAACATAAAAAAGTTTGTTTTCTTTTGTTGGTATCTAATATGATTTATGATTTTTTTTATCGATTGTGACTCTAGACGCCGTTATTTCTGTCCATTTAGGCGTTAGTAAATAATATATTTCAAAATTAAATTATTTTTTAAAATAGAAATAATTTGTTTGTTAAGTATTTTATTTATTTTAATTTCATTTTATATATTTATTAATTCTGGTTTCAATAACTCGGACTGAGATAGTTTTATGGCTCTGTAAACAAAAGAGTTGACAACCGATGATTTTTGGGCCGGATGGTGATGTGTCCATGCATTAAGGTATCGGTCTGTGTGCGTAGGTTTTCTGTAAACACAATGACCCAATGTTGTCATTATGCGCCGTATTATCCCAAAAGAGGAAATCATTTCAAATGTCGAGTATATCCTAAACAAACTAAATCCTTAAAATATCAAAACTCCGTAAATGTAATATTGCAAAACCTGAACGCATTGCCCTAATCTAAAATATAATCCCGACATCGTAATCTTAAAAGCAGATAAACGAAATGCTACGGTGGTCATGAACACAAATGAAGATCAGGAAAAGATTCAAGATATTCTTATAGACGGATCAAATGGTCAACTTAAAAAAGATCCTACGTTATCTATGGAACTCATCCTTAAATCTATCATTAAGGCTTCTTCTCTATCAGACTCCGTGAAAAAATATATCAGCCCTCATGACTCTAAAATACTTCGTCTCTACGGATTCCCAAGGATTCACAAACAAGGATTACCCCTTCGACCTATTGTCAACATAATTGGTTCTGCAACATATTCTCTAGTAAAATATCTATCTTCTCTCACCTTAATTGAAAAATGGTTGTCTGGAATATATTTTTCTTATAACGGTAAAATTTTTGAACAAACGGGTTCTCCACTATCACCAGTCA